ACAGATTTCGATGACGAATTAAAAGAAAGTGTTGCTCCATTTACTAATTATATTTGCAAAATGCTGGCAAGTAAAAACATAATCAAATTTCGTTTGCTTTGGTATAAAAAGATGAAATTTTAACGTGTGGTTATCGCATTGATTTTCTAGAATCTTTCTGTCACGAATAAGGTCCCTAACATTACAAACGAAGACATGGAAAATGAAATTCTGAAATTGCAAAAAGAATTAAGCAAATCTAATTCGAGAGAAGTATGAAAATTTAAATAGAGGTAACATTTCTCACGTAAGATCTATATAATTACAGTATCATATCAATAGATACCGAAAGAAACGGTAAAGTTAGAAAACACATCAAGCTCGGGATCTGCATGGAAGATGTATGATCCCAATGAGTGGAAACATTGTCCCATGGGATGTTTATCTGATGGACAAATTCCTTGTCTGGACCTCCCGCTTGATTTGGACGGACCGAGCACATTTTTCTCAGATTCAAGGTGTGTCATCATGCATCATTATTATTTAATTATTAAATAATATATTAACTTGAGCCTATTCATTCTGTTGTAATGTAGGAGAGAAGCAAATATGATGCAAATTGAATGATAAAGTTTCTTTTAGAAAATTAAAATTTTCATTTGCACTTCAAGGCATCGATATTTAAGTATTATAAACATACATTGCTTATTAATATATATTACTATACATATAATATACGTTAAAGGAAAAAAAAAATATATTTTTTAATTATAATAATAATTATGTTTTTATTGTTTTTATTATGCATATTGTGAAATAGTATTTAGATATCAAACATAAAAAAAAATCTTATTTCACTCTTCCACTTTTAAATTTTATTTTTTTCAAAAAAAAAGTTATCTTCACAATACTTGGAAAATACGCTTTGGTGAAAACGTAGCAATTTTACAATGTGCTTTCCAGAAATATATCTTTTTATTGGTAAAAAAGTTTATCTGATAATAAAAATACTATTACCATTAAGCAAAAGTCTTGACAAAAATAAAACTCGCACTAAAATTCTCGCCTATTGAATTCTTAATAAACAAAGTTAAGCAATATCTTCAACAACTAAAAATCATAAGAATATATTCTTAAATAAACACAGTATAACAGTATATATTATTTTTTACTAATCAACCCTTATACATAATATAATCTTTGATTATTTAAATAATTTTATTATAAAAACTTTCATTCAACTAAAATATGCACGGTATATTAGAATATTAAACATACAGTATATTAAAATAATATTATTAAATTATAATTAAAAAGAAACAAAACTCTAAAATTTTTGATTTTTTTATCAATTACAAAAAAATAATAACAATTAATTATTAAATTTACTTCTATATACGAATTAATAAAAGATTGATTGGTAAAAATTTAAAATAAAAAACTTTCTTTTGATTTTATTTGTTTTACTAAAAATTTTTCTTTTATAATAATTTTTTATTAACAAAAATGGTTTATATTTTTTATCACAAGTAAATTTCAATTTAAAAATTTAAAAACTCTTAAAATAATTAATATAGTAAATAAAATCTCTAGTTAAAATCTATTTAAATTTGAAAGCCTTGCTTATTTTTTGATTATATAAGAAAAAACTTATAACAATTATTTTTTTATTTTATTTTTATTTTATAAATATTTTTCAAAAAACATATTTAAATAAAATTATAAAAAATCTATAAATCAATAATACAATAGTCAGTGCTTTCAAGTTCAAATTATAAGACATTAGCTTAATTTCAAGTAAAAACAATTAAATAAATTAATATTTCTTAAGTCATGAAATATTTTTTTTATAATATTTAAAATTTTTTAATTAAAAAGTTACTTTTTATTTATTTTTTAATCAATTAAAATATTTTTTAAAAAATTTATATAATATTAGTTTTAATTATAGATTATTTATTAATAGTACATATTTATTTTTTATTTATTTAATAAAATTTAAAATTAAATTATAAGCAAAATTTTTAATTTTTTTAAAAAAATTTTTAATAAAGTAGATTATAAAATTTTTTTAAATTAAAGTTTATATAATTTATAATAAGTTTTATAAAATTATTTATAAAAAATAACTTTAATTATTAATTCATTTAACAGATATATAAAAGAACTCCATAACAATAATTACAATACCTTCAAAATCAAATTACTCTCAAACATTCTTCCTATATAAAATTTTTTTTACAATCTATATCCTAAACATTATAAAGATCTATACTGTCTTGGATATAACTTTTGCTCAAAAGATATCTTTCACATTTTCAACTACTCTAAAGCTAAAAAAGAAACCAAGTAAATTATAGATTCAATTAATTTTACACTTTATTCTAACAATAATAATTATTTAATCTTCATATATAATAAGTAATAGAACTAGCATATGAAATTACTACCAATATCTTTTCTATAATCAATATCCATAATTGAATCAAAATATCTATTGAAGCCCTAATATTATTTTACAATATTATATAAAAATTTTACTATAGTATAGCAAATACTCCTTTATTCACTGGCATTAAATAGATTAAAACATTAAAAACAAATAATAATAATAATAATAATAATAATAATAATAACAATAATAATAGTTACAACACTAATATATCACTAGTTAATATTCCTTCCTTTTACAATATCAATTCAATTTTTTCATCAAATAATATTATAGTCAATATTTTTTACAGTTGTTGCAGAAATTCTAATTTATAGCGATCTCAATTTTGCAATCTGTATTTTCAATCTTATTTCTAATTATTATACTATTATCTTTTCAAAAAACTTTAAATAAATATTTATAACTACTCAGTATTATTTAATTAATATACTAGTTTTAAAATTTCTTTTTTTAGTAAAAGTTAGATAATTATTGTAGGCAAACTAATATTTAACTTATTACAATTTGAATATAAAAAATATTGTTTTTTTTAAATATATATTTTATAATATATAAATAAATAAAAAAATAATATTTATCTACTCAAAAAAATATTTTTTAATTATTACAATTTTAATAACTTAATTATAAAAATTTTAACTTGTATTAGAAGTAAAATAATTTTTTTATTTTAAATATATACTAAATTTCATATGATTTTTTATATTAAAATTTTAAATACAAAGTTTAAAATTATTTATTTTAAAAGTTTCTAATAAAAATTTAATTTTTACTTAATAAAGTTAATAAAAAATATTTTAAACTATCTTTTATATAATATAAATAAGTTATACACAATGAAATTTGATATAATATAATCTTAGGGCAATTAATAAAAAATTTTGAAAATTCTACTATAGTAAGATTTTTTTAAATTTTATTATTAAATTCATTATATCAAGATTATTTTATTATAATTGTTTTTGAGTTTATTCTACTATATTGAGATTTTTATATACTTCCACTATATATATATATATATATATTTGGGTGATCCCAGTAGGTAAATATCATCTCTTTATTTGATTTATATATATCAAGGTATACATCATGAAAGAAACAATATCTCTTGGATACATTGCATATAACAAATTAAATGCTAGCTTGCCTACTTGTACCATATTTAACTAATATATCGTAAAAAATTTCAAAAGCAATATTAAAATGTCAAATATAGGAATAGTGGCTATGCCTACCTACTCGAAAAGTTGTTTGATAAAATCTTTTTTTTGAATAAAAGAAATTGAAAAGAAAAAATTAAAAGTAACTAAAACTAAACTTCGTCAAGTAAACTATAAGATCTATAAGTAGAAAACTAATTATTTCCCTGAGAGAACCCCGGATGGGCTCATTGTCCCATCTCTCCAGCTTTTTGGTTATCATAAATAGTAGAGTACACGTGATGTTGTTTGTTGTTGAAGTTGTTGTTGTGGCACAAAACTGGTTTAAGCTGGTACGATTTTGTTTTGATTTTTATGCGAAATCTGATTGGATGATTGGAGAGCGCTAATCATCTGGAGGGTTAAACTGATTTCAGTTTTTTGTTTGAACTTTTGAAGTGGCGCAGCAAATATTACTGCAAAAATATTGTGTGTAAGGGTTGACTTGAAACAAACAGTAG